ATGCTCCTCCAGCATTAAGTTATTTCTTATTCTTCTCATGCGAACAAAGTGTTGTGATGTAAGAATCATATATTTATTTTTTATGGACCTGAGAATCTCTTGACAAACTTTCGACGAGTTGCTCATAATAACACACACAGAAAAAAAGCAACTACAACAACATTACAAAAGCAGCCTAACAGGATTTGTGATGGCAGCGGTCTTGACTCGCATTAGCATTCATTATCTGGTCCCTGTACGAGCTAACTGTTGACCACATGTCATGCAAAGCTGGCAGAGGGTGTTCGCCTGGGCATGTACCTGAGATGTGCCCACCCCCTTGAACCCCTTCCTCCCCAAAACAAAGGGGTGTGTTCCAGTCTGCTGCTGGAAGAGGTGGACGGGGTCTCGAGACAAGCTGCCTTTTCCAGCCGATCGCACAGCCTCCGACCCGGCAGCTCAGCTGGGCCGCCCCCGTCTCATGCCCCGCAGCTGAGGGGTGTTTCCACGAGACAATGATCCGAGGGTCAGGGGGCGAGACGGCGGGGGGTTCTGCAGTCATTTAGGATGCTAATGTTATGCAGGGTTCTCAGAGGCTCTGTGCAAAAGCCTGAACAATTAGGCTGCTGTTGTGACTTGTAGCTTTACTGCAGGGTTCTATCTGGAAACATGATTTATGAGCGTGAGGGCTGCAGCCTGAGCATCAAGCTGTGACGTGTCAAAGTCAGATTAGCAAATAAGAACACATTAACTGCACTATAGAGGCGCTAAAGTAAAAAAAACATCTTTTGTGACAACGCAGCAACTTGAAAACATGTGTCCATACGGTGCGTGCAAGGTGCGTTTAATCGCCGACAGCATATTTGGATTTAATGATTTGTCATAATTGGATCTGCGCGTTAACAAAACATTCACTAATCCTGGATTATAATTTCTAACGTTTGGGTTTAGGAAATCTGTCCCAAATGCCGTCAAAAGGATTTTTACTGAAGCTTCCAAGTGCAGAGCGTCGGTTTGCATTTCAAAGACAAATCCGATTGTCAGAGAGAAACTGATAAACACACACAGATACGGACTTTCTGACATTTAGATGGAAAACAGGTGGAGGTGACCCGTGTTTTTCTACAATGTTTTTCATTCAAGTACTTATAAATGTGCACAGAGACTTTGGCTTCAATGCAAATGTGCAAAAACAGGAGCTGTCTCATCGAAATCGTTTTTCTTGTCTGTGCAGCTTCAACTAATGGATTTACTAGACGGCATCTTTATCTATGTACCGTGTCGTGACGTCTGTGTCCGACTTTGTTAACGTACTGCTTGGAATCGACATTAAACTCCTTTAAAAAGAAAAGAAAATCTATCCATACAAAATGCCGACTGCGTGGACTCCAGCTACACGTAGTGACGAGTAAATACTGAGTCGCTGTTGACACATGACTGAGCTGTAAAACTGTGAAACGGAGTTAAATTGAAATTCACTGAAATGCTCCTTTCATCTTCGACACAGCAGAACGCGCCTCCGATCTGTCGCGGCTTTATCTGATTCTGTTTTCAAACCAATTCGACGACGTATAGACCGAACAGACAAAGCAGCAGACTGAAATTTTACACCGGCAGACTTTTTGGGTTCCATCCAAGATGCTTCGACTGCAGACAAATGGAAAAACCCAAGCATGTGTCGTCAACAGCTTCAGTCCAATCATTGTTTTGGTCTTTGTCTTTTTAAGGCCTGGAATGTTGAGATGAATCCTCACCTTAATATTTAAAAGTTTTCTGGATGTAATCTTGGTTTAATTTGTCGGTGGTTTGTTTCTCTTTGCAGGAAACACTTTCACACCTGAATCCCAGCAGTCACGCGTCATTATATGTGTGTGTGAATGGCTTTGACACTCACTGCTTTTGAACCGAATGTGTCACAAACGCTGCGACTGTACACTGTAAAAGGCTGACTCAGCTCCACTCCACACAGGACGGCATTGTGTTTGTTTACAGCTGCTGAGGAAAGCCTGCTGGGGGGAGGTTGCGAGTTCAAGCAGGGGTGTGTTTGTGTGTGCTGGTGGGGGGATGTTTTGTTTCCTGCGTGGGGCTGTCACATGATGGGGACAACAAAACAGAGGTAGGAGTTTAAAGAAGTTACAGAGGAAGGGGATGGAAAGCACAGGATATACGGGGCATTAACTGAGGGGGGGTGGCATCGAAGTGAAAAATAGTTTTAGAGGAAAATGGGGTCAAAATTTTCTGTTGCTGGAGGAGTCATTATATGCATCCAAAGATGTTTCAGCACTGCAAACACGTGCAACTACCTGCACTCATGATATAACACTCAGCAATCCCTAGTTGCTTGGCCAACATGTTCTACCAAAACCATCATGGGCCAAACTTGAAAGCCCCGTTGTGACACTACTGGTGGGCTGTTGGTTGGACGAACTAGTCGACCACAAAGATTTATCAAAAAAAACATAAAACTCCACTTTTTTTTTGTGGTTTGACCCACTTTGGCGCAGAACACCTGGACGGTTGAATGTGAAGTGTGGTTTGAGTGAGTCATAGTTAGAATTTGACTCAGATTTTGTAGCCCGTGTAGCGCTCTGCAGTGAGTCACAAAACCATCAGAAATGTTTAGATTATTTTTCCTGATATCCATGGAAACAGGCTAAAAGTCTGAGTCAAATTCTTACTATGACTCAGAATTTAAGGGAAAGAACGGGAAAGGGAATGTGAAAGCATCTGGTCCGGGAGCATGTCAGCACTTGTCGGCACAGGCGGAAGTAAAACTCGTCAACATCCGCACAAGAGGAGCAGCCGTCAAAATAAAAGCACGGTCACTGAGTGCATTTCAGGACAGCACAGACAGGCCCTCTGTCAGACTCCTTTGTGTTCATCTGACAGGAACGTCAGTGTAATGTCTGGTCAATAATCCATAAAAGATCACGACGGCTATCCAACCAGGTCGGACTGAGTTTCTGTGTCACTTTCAACACGGCACAAATCTGAACCGTCACATCAGCGGGTAGGCAGGCTACAGCATCTCAGGTCATGTGAGGTAAATAAAGGAAGACTTTTGTCCACATTTCAGCACCAATATTCATCCATAAACATCCCATAGAGTCTTTCCTATGAGATGATTAAACACTATCCTTGTGTGAATGAAATGTATCTGCACGTGTACTGTGATGATGTCTGAATGAGGAGCATTAATCTCCGTCCTACAGACAGAATGCCATCCGTTTAAAGGATGAATAAAGCAGCAATGTTACGTATTTCATATCAGAAAGGATGAAAGACAGAAGATCAGTACTGCTCATTGGTGCTTGGTAAATACACTGTAAAAGACTGCAAGTGCCTTAATGTGCACATAAATTGAGGCCAAATGTGATGTTCATGAGCTTTATGTTTGGCTTTAGATGCCCTGACTTCTGTTTCTGTGTTATTGTTTCACATGGGTATATGTTTTCATCTCTAGCATACAGCATGCAGTGACAATAGGCCGTTTTTTCTGTGTATTGAGGTCATATTTCACAATGATTCACGCTACTTTCTGCCTCTTTTCATATTGTTTCCCTGTTTAAGTTAATTTATCCACATCTAGCTTTCACGTCACATATTTGCAGGGAAGCAATTTGCACATAACTGCAACACCCCGCTGTGCAGCTGTCTCAGTTAAACAACACCGTTAATGTTTCTATTGCTTTACAAAAGCTTTAATTTGCTGTTTATACACAACACCTTCCCTTTCTACAGAAATGTCAGCTCCAACATCGACCCCTCGGATCTAAACAATAACATCAATGCTATTTGAAATACTACTACTCAGAGGTTCGTGCAGTCTCGGTTTCTGTATCACGTGTAGCGCTTCACTTCCTGAGCAATATGTCATATTCTCATTTTTCATGTGGTGATATTTCATTTTCATTTGCAGCATTATGCACACACTTCTAGACATCTATATTTTAGTGTCTTTTTTGCTCTTTACTTTTATATTTAGTGTCTATTTTACTGCTCTTTCTGTTTGAAGTTATTCTCTTGCTTTTACTGTGAAGCACTTTGGTCGACCTTTGGGCTGTTGTAAAGGGTTATATAAATAAACTTTGATTGATCGGTTGATATTTCATTGTGTGATATTACCTAGTACCTCAGTTTACTACAGCATTACTTTTCACTTTTCTATTCTAGTCTTATTTTAGCTAGTTTATTTTATTTCAGTAATGCATCAGACTTACAGTCGTCCTCAAATGTTTTCATCTCCTTGCATTAAAGAAAAGGCAAAATTTACAATAGTCACTCAAATAACTACAAACTGGAAAAAAAAAGTAATAATACATTTTTTAAAATTCCTAAATTATAATTTGGTGAAATAAAACATTGCTTTTGAATTGTGGTTGAAAAGAATAATAATAAAAACAACAACAACAACAACAAAACAAAACTGTCCTGGACAAATGAGAGCACTTTCCTGATCAGCAGTGAATCCAAACACCTGTCAACAGGTGCAGACGTCTGACTGAGAGTTACAGAAAACACCTGATGACTGCAGTGATTGGCTCAAAGGATTGTTCAACAGAATATTAGTTCATGGGTCCCATCATGCTTGTTTGCTTTTTTTTTTATTTTTATTTTTAATAATTCTGTTGAACCACATTTCAGTTTTTTATTTATTATTACTTTTGTCGATTTCGTCTTATTTCAATGACAGCTGCTTTTTTCCTTCTTTGATGGGAGGCTATGAAGACATCTGAGGACGAATGTATTATTGCTTTCTACTTATAAACACCACATTTCTTATGTTATTTGTTTTTTGGCACAAGAATCTTATCTTTATTTAACTATATGCATTATAATGTTTGCTTTTCAAAAAACAAACAAACAAACAAACAATATTAAATCCTTCTTTAAATGTTCTTCTTTCCAGTGTTCGCCCCCAACATCCATTTGGCAATAGGGCTGACTCCGTTACGTGGTGTTTTATTGTGAAAGAAAAGCTGGATTGGAAACCGGAAGCTCACTGAGCTGCCCGCGACTGAGGAGCTAAAAGGAGAGCAGCAGCGCTCGGAGCGAGCATCCCGGACAGACAGCAGCGCAGGCAGCACTCTGCTCCCTCCGTCGTGGCACCTCGTCGCTCCTCCGTGTTTTGATGGGTTAATCTGCGACGGGAAACCGAGCAAAACATCCACCGAGACAATCCGAGCCGGGACGCCGGAGATGGAATGACACGTTTCCCTCCGGAGGGCACTTGTTCGCCGTGACTCTTGCGGAGCTTTCGCCGGGTCGCGTCCACCGCTAGTTTTCGGCACCTTTTCACCCTGTCTGATGTCCACCTGTTACCGCGAGGTCCACACCTGCAGACAGACTCACCACGGAGCCGCACAGGCGCACAGTGAGTTGTCTTGTTGTTGTTGTTGTTGTTGTTGTTGTTGTTGCAGGAGTTGCTCGTGGATTTGACAGCGCAAAGTTGCATCATCTGTCCGGCTGTTTGGGGGGGAAAAAAAGCTGCGGTTTCAACTTTTCCTGAATGACCGCATTTCTTCCTGCTTTTATCACAATGTCCTACTTTTTCTTAGCTACATGTTGTTAGCTTTAGCATGGACGGGCCGCTGCTCGGTGTGATGTCTGCGGGTCAGTTCGCGGATCATCGACCCTTTCTGTGTTGTTTTGTGCCAGACAGGTCCGGACATGTCACAGGAGCAAAAAACCCCAACACAAAACACAATTACACGTAGAAATAAAATTAAAACTCTTACCAGGACGGAGACGGTGTCGTGTTTCGTAGCCTCCCGGGGGTTTTTAATTTCACTTAGAAATGTTGATTTTTTTTTTTTTTTTTTATCCGCAGAAATAAACGAAAACTGCAAAATTTTCGCTGCGAATTTACGTCAAACGCACGTCACGTCGAGTTTTTGTTGTTTTGTTCGCTGTGCTTTATGAAAACAAAAAATAAAATAAAATAAAATAAAAAATAAATAAAGAACGTCGATATTTTTCTTACTTGCAGCCGTGGCCGCCACTGCGCAGGCGCCGCTGCCTCTTAAGCACGCGTGCGCGCTGCCTCGTGCTCGGCGGCACGGATTTGTTTACAAACAGAGTCTCGTGCTGCCGGAGAGCCGCCGCTGCCTCCTCGCGGCCGACGGCAGGATGTGGGTCAACCGGGTCAAACCGGGAAAAACACTAAAGCCACACCGGAGGGCTTTAATATTTAAAAGGCTTGTTTTTACATCTACGGAGCGTTTTGGGTTTTAAAAATGTTTATTTAGCGGCAGTGTTATTCCTGCAGCTGCTGGTGTGAAATTTAACATTTATATATTTTTGGTTTAATATTATACATTAGTCTGAATACTGATTTTTTTTTTTTTTTAGTGCATGTGTCTGCATGTAAAGTTGCCAATAAAATATAATAATAATACAGTAAAATGCATAATAATGCTGTTCTGGGCTACATAAAGTGTCTAGCTTTATTATTACATTACTTACACTGCAGAGTCTCAGCTTTAATATGAACTCTGGTCAAGTAAGGTCGTGTTTTATATGATTTATGCAGAAGTTAATCCCTAATATGTAACTCTATCAGGTATATTTACACCTGCGAAATACGACAACTGGCTCTAAGATTAGATATGCTTCATTGTCCCAAAGGTCGTTTTTTTTATTGGGCAATAGCATCATACTACAGCTGTAATATCACAACCTATAACGTACAAAAAACCACACATACCGCCCAGTAGAACATAACACAGTTATAAAACATAATACAATCATGTCCAGTGGCCCGTACACATAAAGTCCTAACCGCAGCAGTAAAAGCGGATGATGTTACGCTGTGTATGTAATGTATACACCCTGCTGTACAGTATGGGGCAAAACGTCTCAACTGGCAGCAGGTGGTAGAGTTGACGGTTCGATTCGTGTCCTTCTGCGTGTCGGAGCATCCCTGGGCAAGATGCTGAACTCCAGGAGGCCGACAGACAACATGCAGGGCAGCTGTTTGGAGTCTAAGATTAAAAACGTGTTACATAAGTGTGAACTGTTACCCGCATGTTTGTTCTTGTTCGGTTACTTTCTTAAAGCCGATCACTTTCACTGGAAGGCACTTTGGCACTGCTGTCTTCAGTGTACTGTTTTGTTTATGTTGCATTATCTTATTTCTTAATTGAATTTGCTGTTATTCCTCTCATGTGACATTCCTTTAAAGCTCTGTTGTTGTCCTTTAGGCTACTACTGAGATGGCCCGTGCAGAGACCATCGAGAGCGTTGCAGAAACTGGAGGAGGCGCAAACGGACCTCTTCCCAACACCTGCCGCATGGAGCTGCCTCACTCCCTGCACACCTGGCCCGGTCTGCACCTCCATCACAATCACCACCACCTGCCCACCTGGCAGGCTCCCTACCCGTCGTACCCGCTGCCTTACCCCGACCCGCAGGGCCAGAACCAGCCCCGGACTCACCAGCAGTTACCTGCGTTATCGCCATCAGCAACGCCGCCTCCTTCTTCGCCGCTCTGCAGCCGGAGGGACGAGAGGAACCGAGGCACCGTTGCACCCAGTGACATCTCAGGAGAGCAGTCAGGTAGGATCATTCAGTCAGTTCTAACCAAAGAAAACAGCTCTGCAAGGCTGGGATGGAGCGCAGAAATCTGACATTAACAGAAACACTCAGTGAGTTGTAGCATGGTGTCGTATTAAAACCATGTGGCCTAGTTACTCCCCTTGTTTTGACAGGCAGGGAAAGGGGGCAACGTAACACCAAGATCTGTATCGGAGCACATCATTAATCATTAAGCCTGCCAGCAGCAGCAGCAGCAGCAGAGCCAGAATTGATTTTAAAGCCACCGCTGCAGCGTTCACCGCTGCAGGAAAAGAGCTGCACACTTTCTGTGGTTGTGATGAAACAGTGGAAAGACGTCAGATGTGACTCACAGAGCAGTTTGCCTTTCGGACCCCCACCCTTAAGCAAACAGGAACGTTATCAGTTAGCGGGAGAGTATCGGTTGTGTGCACCCGAGGCTTTATTTCCATGACAGGAGTTTGTTTGTCCAGCGTTGACGGGGGGGGGAGGGGGGAGGACGGTGTGAGGAGATGGAGAGGAAATGTGCTACAGCTGTCACAGGGATCAGCGCGGGAGTCTACTATTGCAGAATGACATGTAACCGGCGGGTGTATCATTAAATTATACAGGACGCAGACAGTGAAAATGGCCAAACCAGTTCTGTTCAGCAGACAGTGCATGATAGTGTCTGTCAGGGATTAGCTGACAGCAAAATGTCTTTCATATTTCTTGGCTGCGTGCGTCAAAAAGGGAGACGGAAAGTGGCCGGACCGCTTTTGTATTGGAGCTCATTCCGCTGCTGCCGCTCCGCAGTTGTTTTCAGCAAAAGTCAATTACCTCCCGGCTTGTTTACTTTGCGGATCGAGTCGATGTGTCAGCGTCCCGGGGGGAAATTTGGAGGCTGCAGAAAGTGAAATCCAAGTGAGGTGGCTCAGCGGGTTACAGGACGGGCAGGTTGGAGTTTGGCACCGAGCCGCCGTGTTGTGACAGATTTTTAGCAATGCAAACAGATGAGCTGCCACCGCCGCTGCCGCCCTCCTCCTCTTCCTCCTCCTCCTCTCAGCTGTAGGTCAGCTGTGCATGCAGGCATGTTCAGACTTGTCCTCTGCAATAAAAGAAACAGTCTGCAGCATTTCCTCCTCCTCTGAGCTGCTCAGCCAGGCAGCACAAAGTCAAGGCAATCTGTCAGCTCTCCTTAGTTTGTCAGAGTGCACATTTCTCATTTGTAAGAGGTTTGTTTCTCATTAACAGATTCAGAAAAGTGAGATTGTCTGACTCACGGTTCGTTAACCGGGCTTATCAGACAATCTAGTTAATAAACAAGTGAGTTTGTTATCTAATAAGTAAGTTAATTATGCAGCCAGCTACTCAGCAATCTAGTTAATCAATTATTCACACACTTGGGCGTAATCCTTGAGCCACAATCAATAAACCAGAGAGATAACCAGTCAGTGATTCCTCAGGTCAGCTTACTTGTTATTTTGGGATGTGAGACAGTTGGTTGGTTTGTTTGTTTGCTTTATCTCAGTTTGGACTTTCATTTGCGGGACATTTGTTTAGTCACTTAATCTGTCTGTTGCCTAAATTGTCCTCAAGTAAGAACATAATTAAACTAAGCGAATTATCCAGCTCACATTTAAGCTTTCTTCCTCCCCCGTTGGTGCATCTCTGGGTTTAGTCTGTTTTGATTTTTAATGCTGCCCCCCTGCCCAACAACCGGCCCACCCCGCCGCCTCTGCTGCTCCCATATTTAACTGGTCAAGGGGTCCCTCTGTCACCTTGTCCGTCTGTCAGCCTATCAAGCAGACAGGTTCGTCCCAAGCCCCGCCCCCTCTCCTCCGGTTCACCCTATCGCCGCCTGGCCCCCCGCTCCGTCATCCAATCACACGCGGACGTCTCCAGGAGCGCTGCCTTAGAGTTACCTTGGCAACAAGCCAGGGTTTTCCTGTTTGTGTTTTTTTTTTTTTTTCCACCGCTCTCTCTTTTCTGTCTTTCTCTCTCCCTCCGTCTCTCTCTGCCTGTCTAGTCACCTGCATCTTTAAAGGATCAGTTGTAATCCTCCTAGCAAAGCAGATGCTGTGGTTGCCAGGGGTGCCCGTTTCTGTGGCAACTAGAGTTGTGGTTGCCGCGGGCGCCGGAGACGAGGCAGGGGTCGTCTCACGGAAGAGCTGTGATTGGACGGAGTGAAAAACAGGCGGATGTAAAGGTGTGCGGTGGAAAGGTTAGAGCAGGGCATCGCCTTAAACAGATCGATAGTCAGAGCTGCGCCGTGCCAGAAAATCTGAAATTCAAACGAGTGCAGCTTTAGAGAAATAAAACGACATCCCTTCTTGTTCGGGATAAAAGTGCGTTTAATCTGTTTTATTGCATGTTTAAAAAAAACAAAACAAAACGCTGGAATACATAAAAAGAAAGAGAAATAGGAAGCGTCAGTGCCCTGGGACTCCTGCTGTGGTTGAATCACTCATCTGGTTACGATACTCGCCTTTTTTCCAAACTACAAAACAGGATTTAACTGATTAAAGAATCAAATTTAGCAAAGACAAATGGAAACACGCAAGTCAGTAAACCTGAATAAATAATAAACAAATGAAAACTACCTCCACAACATGCATGAGCAGACTTTGAGCGCATCAGTTTTCACATAATCGTAGCAGGTTGTGCAGTTTTAGGTCTGTTTTTTTTCTTTCTACTGCAGACAGAAGGTTCAGGTATCTGTTGGTTAAAGAAAACCGTCTGTAAACACACAACAAACACACATGACGCTACCTCTCCATACCAGACTTATTAAGCAGATTAAGAGATTACTCTCCCAAGTTCCATGAAGAGGAAAATAAGTCACCGTCAAGCTCCTCCAGAAGTGTGTGTGTTTGTGCGAAACGTCACCGTTCGCTGGTGTTTTTATTGTAAAAGGTCGAGGCTGAAGGTACGCCCACGTCTTATTAAACGTCATTAGTTGGTTTTCTTTCAGTATCACAGAGAATATCGTCACTTTTTCCACTTTGCACAAGCAAAAGCATGCATGTGCACACTTACAGAAACTACACTTTGGTGATCACGTGTGCTTTAATTACATTTTTAGATCGAGTGCACTTGAGGTTCACTGTGTGTGTTTCTGGGTGTGTGCTGCTATGTTTGCTCATCAGATAAGTCCCTGTATGTGTGGCTTGATCTGCCTGCAGAAGCAAATAAGGTGACTGTTAGTTGAGATCAATTAAGCTCAACTGGAGGCTCTAATGAAGCCGGAGACGCATCATTCGTTCTGTGTCAGCGACCTATTTTCTCAATTTATGTCTTCCTTCTTCTCGTGCAGACTCGGACAGAGAGGACCGTCTGCAGGCCTCCAGCCGACAGGGACCTCCGCCCGACCTGCTGCCCCAAAACGAGCACCCGTCCTGGGCCTCGCCGCAGCACCGAGCCCCCAGGGGAGAGGCGGTGCAGGAGCTGGAGCTCAGGAGAGTGGCCAACCAGCTGAGGGCGATCGGAGACGAGTTCAACGCCACGGTCCTGCGCAGAGTGGTGAGCAGGGGGATGGGGAGGTCCGGTTACTGACCTTGGAGCGGGGCGAGGCGAGTTCACTAAAATAAAACTCGACCAGTTTTCTTTTTAACTACTTTGAGATGTTTTTCTTCCTTTTTATGAAACTAATTTTCCCCCAAAACATAAAAAAAAACGAGACACACGAGCTAATAACAACACTCAGCTGATTAGAACTCATCAGTCTCAAAGAAAACCCTTTAAAAAGTTTGTGAATGAGACGCTGATTGTGCCGCAAACGAGCCGAGTCTCGCTGTAACGATCTGTAGCTGAGCCGAGGATGCGAGTCTGAAGTGTTTTGTTGTCCTTGAACACACCGCGGCTGCATTGATTCCTCGTTCTCTCGCTGTCTACGCAGTCCTTTGCGTTCGCGCGTGGACGGACGCGTGCGATGGTGGCGCTGAAGGCGGATCGATATGCGAGAGTGAATCGATGACATCTGTTCGCTGAGCCGATTTATTATCTTCCTTCTTTTTCTTCTCGTTACTTTCCTCTTGTTGTTTTTGCAAAAATGAGACCGAATCGTCTCCTTCGTTCGGCACGAATCTCTCAAATGAGGTCATATCTCTGGCCGTCGTTCTCCCTCTGATTTCACTTTCCTTCTCTTTTCTTTGTTTCCTTCTTTATCGCTGCTATTAAAACAACTTTATTTCCCCTCCACACAACAACAAACAACAACAACAAAATGCCTGAACCCTCCTCGTGTTGCTCCCCAGCAGAGCGGGCTGCCTTTCAAACACTCAGATTAACTGCTGTCTGCCTCTTTTTGATTGTTATTTCTTTATCTCGCCCCTCCCTCGGCGCTCTGGATCGCGTGAGGACTTGGCAGCGACTCTCCTCCCCTCTCTCTCCCTCGACCTCCTCCCTCCCCCACCGCTCTCTCTCTCTCTCTCTCTCCTCCCTCGCCCTCCCGCCTTTTTGCACATAAACAAAGATGACGTCACCCTCGGCTCCAGCTCAGCCTGCCCATCGCACACTTCTTTTTTTTTTCTTTTTTACGAGGATGCAGCAGCAGCAGCAGCCTCTCGTCTTGCAGACGTGTGCAGCAGGTTTTTCGGGGTTGACTCCCTCCCTGAACTGTCTGCCTCTTAATTCTCCAGAGGAGGGGGAGGAAAAAAAAGAAATGGAGCATGTTGTTTACAGGCTTTCTAAAGGAGCAAAAACAAAAGGAATGAAGATATGCAAAGGGAGGGTTAACCACAGGCACGTGAGGTTCAGCCGGTTCAGAGTCTCCGGCACAGACGCACGCTTGTTTGTCCTCGTGTCCGTCGTTATTCCAGACAAATGGTCTTTCTCTTCATCACATCTTTCTGTCCTCGACTCATTCAGCACTTCTACAAACTTCTGTGCTCGTGGTGAAATCTGTGCAGCGTTCTCTATCAGCAGAAGAATCCGTGCAATAGCGTCGATATGTGCAATATTCTTATTTCCACATCCGGAGGAATTTGTGCAATCTTTACTAGTTCCTGTGTGTATGTTTATCTTCTTATGTTTTACACAAGTTCCCTAAACGATTAATAAAGGCTCTTCGTATCAACATGAAATGAGACGAATATAATAAGATGGTTAAATAATCGTCCTCGACCCGACTGGTTTATTTTTCAGCAGATCTTTTGGCACGTTGACGCTTCAAAAGCTGCCTCATAAATGATCAGAAATCGGCTCCAGCGTCTTTGTTTTCCGCCGACTTGCATGAAGTTGTCTGTTGTGTGTCGTTCGAGCCTTTTGGCATTTCTGAAGCGCCTCGGCTCGTCTGGACTAACGCGTCCTCTCCTCTCTGTTTCGCAGCACGTCGCCCCCCACTGGCAGGACTGGAGAGACGTTTGCCGAGGACTGGTCAACTTCATCGCCCAGACGCTCAGCACTCTGTACCGGCTCACGTAGACCCGGAACTGCCGGTTGAGACTTTTCTATTTTTTTACGTTCTTGGACTTCTCGTCACTTGATCCTGGAGGCGTGAAGCTGAAAACAAGAACACTTGCTTGAACTAAAGGAATGGGGAGGACGACGTTTAGCAGCCGGAGTCGGGCTGCTCCCTGTGGAAACTGGACCCTGCCTGTCTGTCTGACTGACCGCTCGTCCGTCAGTCGGTCTGCTGGTACAGACTGCAGCTGATGGACCGACAGTCGCCTGTATATTCTGTAAAATCATTCTGTTCTCGTCGTGTCTCGGGGGTCGGCTCATGATGTAGCAGGTGTGAGTTGCTGTGTGTTTGTGCGCATTGAGGACCAGGGTCAGACTGAAACGTCGATTTCAAAATAAGGTTTTATCCAGTTGGGAAAATTTCACACATATTTCAAAACTGGGGGTTTGGACGCTGCGTTATCGTCCCGAGTTTCTTCGTTTAGCTGTGATTTCAGCCGACGTTTTGCAGGAGGACGCTTCATGTCCAACTCTTCCTGCATCTGCTTCTTCTTCTGCTGCGGAGATTCGGACCCTCTGAACCCTCTTTGTCAGATTTGACCCTCGTCCGACGTGCGCATATCGCCGTCGTGTCTTTATCGTGCAACCTGTGTCCCCTTAAACTGTGAAGCTGGACGCTGTGGTTGCATCGCAGGGAAAAGTCGGGTGTTATTCCACTATGGAGCAAAGCGCAGAGCCAAACCTCTCTCCCCAAATCTGAAGAAAAAAAACAAAAACAAAACTGCTTCATTTCATCGTACAACGTGCCTTTCCGCTTGGCGCTCTGTCGAGGCTTAATCTCCAACACCAGGACAATCAGCTACACAAACACACATGCAGTGAAAAACAAAACTCTTTTAAAGTGCTTTGTTTGCAGCCACTAAGTTCATTTGCATCGCGTTCAAACAGTTTGAGGTCATTTCAGGACGGGAGCAGCTTTTAACTCTCAGCCAAACCTTCGGCCGCGCCGTTCGTGCTGCCGACAGTGTTCACAGCCACTCGATCGACTGTAAATATCCTTTCGGAAGACAAATCTTAACTTATCCAGAGGTTCTTACGGACTTTAGGAGTACTCGTCGAAGTCCACTGCGTTTGGGAGATGTTCATGTATTTCTGAGTGGCCGTCGGCAACAGTCGTCTGAATTTAAATCCAGTGGATTTGAGAAGGTATTTCCATGAGTTAAATGAAAAAAAATATATGATTTGGATCTTTTTGATTGTCGAAAAACAAGTATTTGATGATGTTTGTACAATGACCCCTTCGGTTGTGCGACTATTTTCATTGTAGTTTAAGAGAAAATGTTAATATGGTAATTTATTTTGAATAGTAGCCTATCTGTAGCTTGTTTTTTTTGTTTTCTGCATTATTTTTGTTTTTTTTTAAATGTATTTATTTTTTCTTACATTCCTGATCAAAGTTCTGCTTTACGTTGTATTTGAGTTGTAACTGTTAAAACAAGAGATTGAACAACACGGGAGCTACACACTGAAAAGCATCACTTTTTAAGATTCAGAAATTCAGGAGCTGTCGCGAAAACGGACTCGATCCATTCAAACGGTACAAATGTTTTAGAGCAATGGTCCTCGTTATTACCTTCACAGATGATCCAGAGCGCGCTGTCTTCGTCCACGGAGCGGCGAACTGTTTACGTGACGATTACGGAGAGCAATGTGATGTGATGGCGTTTGATGTGTTTGTCAGAAAAGTCCCAGAATTGTCCCTTTTTTTTTTTTAAAAGCACAAAGAAATGAGCATCCCAGAGTCACAGCAATACTCTAAAATTTTCGTTCGACAGCTTAAAATGACTGAACTGAAACCAAACTGAGGCGTCAGTCGGGTGTTTTTATTGTGAATTCAGTTCTGAGGCTGTGTGGGTCGGCCGGTGCTACACGTCTGTACTGTAACGTACTTTGGCTTAAAGCGGCTGCTTGATGGAGTGTTTAAACTTTGATTTCAGGAAACGAAGGCCCTTCAGCAGAGACGTGTTTGTCATCAGGGTTTTGTTTTGTTTTGCCATTTCCACGATCCCACTCTCACTTGGCCTTAGCGACACCGTTCTGTTTGTTCTCTTTCATCCCAGGGCCTTGTTCTGGATGTACAAAGTCATAAAGATGCCTGTAGATGCTCAGCTAAACACAGACCAGCATGGCAGACGCGTCATGTACCGCTTGTGTATCGGTGTTTGTGGGGCGCTTTGCCGTCATGGCGTCGCCCTTCGGCCCGCGGGTCGCCCTTCGGCCCGCGGGTCGCCCTTTGGCCCGCGGGTCGCCCTTCGCTCGCCTCCGGTCGCTCTTCTCGTCAGAGGCGGCCTCTCGGTGGAGCGCTCGCCTCCGTGTCAGTCACATGCAGTGTGTATTTGCCGTTTTTCAACTTTTTTCTATTGTAAAATTTCTACATGAATTTTGTACTTATTTCTTTTTTTTATACAATAAAGATAAGAATAAATATATGGACCTGTTTGGAGTCTGATTTATGTGCATCAGTACATTTGCAGGATGAGGAATACCTACGACCTTATGCACCTTGTGTTTATCTGTTTACATACAAATGCACCTTACATGTAGTTTTTGCACCACTTACTTACTTTTACATGGATGTTCAGCAACATCCAGAGGAGCAACATCAGTTAATCTGCTGTCTTTATAGCTCTTAATACACCAAATAAACTTTCTTTGTCATAGATACACTTGTAAATACAATTTTTC